ACTGTTCTGCACTCAGTGATGGAGAGAGTGGGTGTGTCTGAGGGGGTAGTGGCAGTGAGTCATCTGGGAGAGTCTGGGTAGAACTTCATGGAGCTGACCCATTTGAATACATGGTCAGCTTCTCGGGCTTCTATTCCTTCTTCTTACTGATAAACTTTCTCAGCACTCACCTATCCAGGGGGATGAGAACCTGAGGTCTTGTGCTGGAATGCAGGGAGGGTAGATGGAGCCCAGAAGCTGTGTGCATGCAGGACTGCAGTCCTGGTGTCCCTTGGGGACCTGGAAGGTTCACAGGACTCCTGCAGCTGTCCCCTCCTACCTTTTGGTGTGGGGTCTGGGCAGGCAATTGAGTGTACTCAGGAAATAGTGTAGTAGCAAAATCCCACTCATTCATCCCATGCCTTTCTCTCCTTCTCTTTTGTTCTTTGATCCGTAAGGATGTTATTTCCCCTCTGGATACCACTGGATTTCCCCTCTCCACCTTCTGCAAGGACATGCAGAGAAGTGACTTTCAGGACAGGATTGAACCCAGGAAGAAAGCATTTTCTTGCAGTCATTTTTCCTAGGCATGTAAAGAAAGCTTTTCTCAGCTCTTTATCTCTGTTCTCAGGGGATGCCTTCAGGCCATTACAAGGTAGTATCTGTGGATGAGCTGCTGCTAAACCTTGGAAACAAAAAGTAAATCTAACACTTAAAGAACTGCTAAAGATTTATGATGTTTCAGAGGAGAAACCGTTCATAAAAAGCTGACGAGCCAAGTTCCCTGCAATGTGTTGAACAGCAGAGGGTGTAGAGCTGCTTTTTGTTACTTGGAGCAAATTAAATGACAGGAAAGACTGCGAAGCAGTTGGTGGGATGGCCAAGACTTCGGAATTCAATGACAAGGAATATTCATCTTTCTGAGGATTTTGTACATTCAGCTTCTCTTCATCCAGACCTGTGACTTCTCCCATTTTTTGTCTCATTCTCCAGGATCTCTTCTGGGGTGTATGATTCCCTCAATTCTCTCAGAACTCCTCTACCCTCAAATCTCACTTCCTTATTGAGGGCTTTATCAGACTCATTTCAAACTCCCGTTTTTGGATGATTGCCCTAAAGAATGTAGAAGCTAGACAATGTCCCTGATAAGAATCCATTTAGTTTTGCACACCATAACGTGTCTGAAGGCTTACCTGGCTTCTAGTCCCTCTTCTTCTCTTCCCGAGGGAACCATGCCATGTTGCACACCTTTTTCCAACACTGCCTGAGTTTCTCAGGCAGGGAGGAGCCATCCTTAGCTCCAGCACGGGCTAAGGTTTGGCTACATAAACTAGAGCACGTTTGTCCTTGAAAACATTTGGTTCATGAGTGGTCATGTGCCCTCATTCTATTTGAGGCAAAGATTGCAGAAGCTTTTGCAAACATTCTTTCTCGCTTTTAAGAGGAGCTTAGTAGCCATTTTCTCCCTCTGTGCCTCAGTTTCTACCTGTGGCTGCCTTATGACCATGGGGGAAGGTACTCTGAGAACAAAGCTGATGCCCAGAGCAAGGCAGATGGAGAGAATCTCAGCAAAATGTAGGGAGAATCCTGATTTCATGGACTTAGAATCTGCCCAGTCTCTGGATGCTCAGTTATATAAGCAAAAAGAACTTTGTTTAAGCCGTCTGAGTCCGTTGGAATCATCCCAACTGATTTTGGGGTGTAAACTCAGCATGGGGTTCAGCATGGTGTAAAGTGACCTAGTGAAAGAGAACTCTGGTAGGAATCTGAGGACCTAGCCTAGAGTTCTAGGTACTGTGTCTGGAGCAAGCCTGTTTCACCTGTGGCAGTTGATTTCTCAGTTAAAGGGGTGCATTGACCACTGTGTTATGTCACAAGGCTGAGTGAAGAAGTTATATGCCAAAGCTTCAAAACATGCTGTGCAAAATATTATAATTGCCATCACATGTAGCTTCAATCCATGAATCCTCCAGACTGAAAATAGCCATAGTGGCTAATTTTATTGAGGGGTTATGATGTGTTAGGCTCTGAGCTAAGTGCCTGAATGACTTAGTTCACTTCATCTGCACTGCAGTCCTATAAAGTAGGTTATTATGTCTCCATTTTGCAGATAAAAAGCATTAGAAAAATTAATAAACTTTTTCATTGTAACACAGCTGGTAGGTGGCAGAACTTACTAATAAATATTTGACAATGATGATATTAGGTTTGTGCGAAAGTAATTGAGAATTTTTCATTAAAAGTCAAGTAATGGCAGAAACTGCAATTACTTTTGCACCAACCTAATGCTTGCCTAAGTATATGCTCAAGAAATTGTCAATTCCACACAAATCGCCACCAGTCTCTAATTCTGTATTAGACCTTCTCCCATTTTTAGGTTTGTACTACTCGTTTCTTCATTACCTAGTTTCCTCTCATGGCGCCTTAACACCTTAAACTAGTACACACTTCCCCTTTACAATTAATTACTGTGTTTATTACCATACTAGGAAAAGAAATATCTTGTGCTGGTGTTGGTTTACACCATATCTCTAAATGTTTGTGTGTGTGTGTGTGTGTGTGTGTGTGTGTGTGTGTGTGTGTGTTACAGCATTAATGAAAGTAGTGGGTGTTTCAGATATTTTGAAACTGTTAAGCCAGAGGTACTTACTGAGAAAGTGTCTGAAACAGTGTCTTGCTGGTCAGCTGCAAGGAATCTAATATCTTTCCCTAGGGCACTGAATGTCGATACAGATTCAGTGTAATATGGGAAGGTCTCCCAACTGTCTAGATAGTTATTTCCAACGGGGATGGTGTGCCCCTCCACGTTTTGATGGTCACAACTAGGGGGTGGTGGCATGCTGTTGGCATCCAGTGGGTGAAGACCAGGGATGCTGCTAAGCATTCTCCAATGCACAAGACAAAAATTACCCAACCCCAAGTATCAATAGTGCTGAGGTTGACAAACCTTGGTCTAGACACAGCCAAGGACCAGCGCTGGGCTTTTCTTTCTGTCATCTCTGCTTGGTTAAGAGTAAGGCAACCCATCCTGATCTATGGGTCAGATGCATGTCCTATGACGTTCACGAGTTGGTGTCCATGCTGGGGCTCAGCAAAGCCTTGGAGCCCAGCAAGGCGGACTTCTATTGCAGGAGACACAGGCCTCTTGCAGGAAGCTGTTGACAGAAGGCTCTTACCTGACAAAGCTGAGGTCAGCTGGTACACATGTCTTAAATCGAATGGCATGGTCTTCTGCATTCTGTTTCTACCAAGGTCCCTAGTGCAGTGGCTGCTGATGGGGCTTGACTGTCTCTATGAGGGCTCCTCCCTTTCTTCCCATTTCCCAAGGTTTAATTCTATTGTGTTGGCCACTGACACATTCCAGGGTCCTGGCATTATCACCTTTGTTCCTCTAACCAACCCAGATTACCATCACCACGTCTCTTTAGGATGGGGGTATGATCACTTTCCTGTCTTCTAATTCCCTCTCCCACTGTGTTCTGGCACAAGTTTTATGCCATTGTACACTTTGGAGCTTTCCTTTTGATTCCCAGATGCTTATATGAGAACTTTAAAAAGAATGGAATATTAAAATATATTTTCTGTTATCCTCTTTGTTATGGAAATCAAAATTCTCCTTATGGCCGTGTGGATGCCTCTGAATATTGAGGAAAGAATCATGGCATAAAACAAAGAAAGAAAAAAGATGGATATGTCAAGATCTTATTTCACGACATCAGAGATTTCATAAGTTTCCTTCCCCTGTATACTTTGGAGTTAGAAAGGAGGTAGTGGTGGTAGAGGATAGTTTTATGGGTTTAGCCAGATGTTAGGGACATCTGGTAACTAGATGTTTGCTTTTTAACCGTGCCTGAGTGTTGCGCTGATAAGATGGGAACTGGGAGTTGAAAGTGGTTGCTCTGGCCAGGGTAAGAGACAGCAGTGTTTCTGAGAATAAGGATTAGGGGTAGGAGTACGGAGAGGTGGTTTTGCCCGGCAGAAGGCACTCTTTTCTTTCTGTGCCTCCATATCTTCATTTGAAGATGAGACTCCACCTATTCCTGATATAATAATCAACCATTTTACTGTAAGTCATAAAGTGCTTATTAGATGACAGGCACTGCACTAGGCTCTGGGCACATGTTTCCTTATTTACATTCAGCCATCCTGTGCAAGAATCTGTGATGCTCTGAAGAGATATCCCCTAACTCTTCTAAAATGAATGTCATTATTATTATCATCACTGTGGATATCATGCTTTAGACTTAAATATTCTGTTCTCATATTCAGGAGTTTTACTGCTACCAATCCCAGGGCTGTGTCTTTTTTGTTCGCATGACTTCTGCGTAGTATTGATCAGTTGTCTTAAGTCATTCACATCCATTAGTCCAATTTTCTCAGAGAAGTTGCTGGGCTAATGGTATTATTTGTGACTGTGAAAAAACGGGTTAGATCTTCTGGAGAAAATAGCTCTTGAACTTGAGTCTTTGTTTCATTAGATGCGGCTGGATGAAATAGAGGGTTGCATTTGGTACTGAAGATTCACACTTCAGAAAATAAAATGTCGCTGTGAGAAGAAACTGCAGGTGTGGATTTGAAAGCCGATGGAAGAAGACTGTGAACAGAATTCTACCTCTGTGCCAACACTGTGACCAGGGCCCATTTATTGTGAACAGGTTCCTGGTATGTTTGCCTGTTCTCCCAGTGAATCACAGGTGGCCTGAATGGAGTTCCACAGAGGTCAGTGGCAGTCAGGAGAAGGCTCTGAAGTAAATAGGCTCTGAACCAAAGATGGAAGACATATGTTGTGGGGCGGGGGGGTTGGGGAGGTAAGGCCTGAGAGTCTTTCAAAGAAAAGAATGGTAGGTAAACAAGAGTGGAAGGAAAAAGTAATCAAAGGTTCAGAAGATGGGGACAGATCTCGATTTGGCCAGAGACTAGCCAGCCTAGGGAGAGTCTAGAAGAATGTGAGAGCCGCAGATCCAGAATAAAACCTATCAGTTGTTCAGCGTCTGCTGGCCTTCCCCATTCCCTCCCGCATTTCAACTGCAGCGGAGCAGCCCTGGAATCATCGAGTGCAGAATCCAATATGGCCGGTGGTCAGAGCTGGGGACTTGGCCACACAGACGAGCAAGCCTGCGCCCTGGAGAGCTGTCTGGCCTTATCTGCCCCAAGAGGATCCGACCTGTTATGTGAACACGAGAGACTTATCACAGCTTAGAGGATTTACAGGGGATTTGATTGCTGCTTTGGAGTGGGCAGACTCACTGTGCTCAGATGGGCCCCAGCAAGTTGTGGCATCTTGTTTTCTTAAACTAGGGGAGGGATTTGATTAGTTAGGAGGGCCCGCAGTTTCAGAGAGTGAGGAGGGGTAGAGAATATGTGTGTGGGGGGGTGGGGGTGGGGCTTGGGGTGGAATCGGGGGCAGAAAGTGGTGCTCAGGAATAATACACAAAGTGGAAGAAAGAATTTATCTCGGAAATTTCTCTGCACAATAACATATGCACACCTTCTTGGCTTGTAGGAAAGCAAGCTGGTCTTTTTATTTTTATATTTTTTTAACCTTATAACAGATGTAGTTTTGAGTAAGCTTATAAAGCAACTTTGAAAACTAAAGAAACACCTACCAATTTACATCTTACTTCTCCTGTGTTTCAGCGGCCCTTGTGTTAAGTGTTGAGCAACCAGAAATGTCAAGAATTGGCTGTAAACCAGGACCGATCCCCTTTTGCCACATTCTATGAGGTAAAGCTTTTTTTTAAAATGTGGGAATCTCCAAAACAAAAATAATATGTTGTGAATGGATCCTTACAATAAACAAAGAAAACAGAATGATTACCTTAGGATATCAACTTTCACATAGAGTTTAAATATTACCACCACTTGGGATCAGCCGAATACTTTCGGCTCTATAAAGCTTCCATTATTCATTTAGCCACAGAAATCTGCCAGCTAATATTTTATTAAGTCTGAAAATACTTTAACCAGCCCTTTCTATATCTATCAAGTTCAAAGAGATGATATAGTTCATGTATTAAGACTCCATAAAGTTTAGTCCTAAAAATGTGGATTATATTTCCAATACTTATTAAACATTTTTGTCTATTGGCTGATTTATTTTAGGCCCATGGGCATATGTTTTCATTACATGGTGGGCTTAATTCATATGCTCCTTCTAGATAGTTCTAGCATCTTTCTGTTTATGAAGATCACTTAAGATGAAAGGCATTAAAATACAGTTGATTTTAGGTATCTAGCCATGTGTTTAATACAGCCCTTCTTTATAATACTTATTTCTGGTCCTGGGCATCAAAGAAAAAAAAAATGAAAAGTCAGCACTGTTCTCTTAAAAATACGTCAAGGCCCCCAACTCTTTAACAACACAGGAAATGTCAAATATTATATGGATATAAATAACTCAGTAAAACAGGGTTACAAGAACATCTGGCTTTGCACAGTTCCACGCACTCGGCTGGCGCAAAGATATTTCAGTAATACTATCCAGTCGTCGGGTTGTGTGAGACTGTGGGGCACAGAAGGGAATTTGAGTGTCGAGTGAAAAATGTGCTTGTAAAAAGGTCTGGGTTGTTATCTGTTTAATCCGTCCTAATCTGTTCAGTCATTTGCTCTGGGGGCTCTTAAGAGAGGAATACTGACCCCCTCTGGAAACCAGTCTCTTGGACAGATACCCCTTGGGGCCCCAGGGTTAGGAAGGGAGGGCAGAAGGTTAACGACCCTCCCCTTAAGAAGCAAGCTGCCCCAATGATAACTGGAGAGATCATTTTAAAAAGGGACATCTCAATTTTCAGAAGGACTTGCAGCTTTATTTCAGGTCTCACACTATGGAGGCAATCTGAAGGGAACACGGTGACACCCATCTTTGCTCTCGTCCGTTTTGTCTCTTGCCTGATCGGTTCCATTCCTCGATTCCCTTTCTCTCTTTCCTGCCTAACATTCTTCACTGTAGGCTTTCCCTTTATTTTTAAGATCTGACTTCCTTGGGCTCTGGGCAAGCCACCATTTGTGGAAAGCAGCTTGTGCAGTTTAAACTATTTGGTGTTCAGCTCACTTATACAAGCCTAAAAAAGAAAACAAAACTCCAAAACAAATACACACACACACACACACACACACACACACACACACACACACAACCCCACACAAGGCCTTTAAGGTTTATGGTTTTCCCCGAAGTCTATATTACCATGTTCAACATTAAAAGAATAAATAGCAGCATCATCCATGTCAAAAGAAGACAAAGCAAAATATAAGTGATAGGTGTATCTTAGATGCTTAAACGACTCTCACTTATTTATTCTGCAAATATTGAGTAACTACTGTGCCAAGCACCGTGGCAGGTAAAAACTCAAGGCCCCTCCTTGCCTTTAAGAACTCAGTCTAGTGGAGGCAACACATGGAAATAAAGTTACCATATGAAACATTGCAATACAGTGCAATGCAATGCAATGTTTCTAAAATAAAGTGAACCAATGAAAGAAAGTAAATACCAGGTACAAATAACTTGCTTAAATATCTTTTACCTTCCATTGGAATATCTAGTTCCACTTGCTTCTTTCTCTCCCTTCAGCAGTCTTTCTGGAAGTCATTTCATTTTTAGTTAAAACCAAGTCTAGCGGGAGAAACAGCTCAGAAGCTGAATGGCCATCCTCCTCAATGCTAGAGCGGAAAGTGGTGGTGAAGCTGGTTTATTTCTGAAGCAGCTGGGAAAAACTGCATAGAGGTGAAAGAAATCCTCTGATTTGGAGTGTGATTCATAGGTATGCATGATAATCTGGTTTTTGCAGGGGTTCCTGGGAACCCCAGGTTCTACCCGTAACACGTATACGTATTGTTTTGTGATTTGTTTCTCTCAAATTACCTTATTTTATTCATCAACTAACTGGTTAATTCAAGTACTATGTATCTAAAGAGCTCCTTCTAGGTGTCAGGGTCTGTGATAGATAACAGTCCTTGCTTTCAAGAAGCTCAGTCAGGTGGGGAAAGTCATGTAAACAAACAATTAAAACACAGTGTGATAAGCGTTAGGGATCCTTGCTTGAGATCAGAGGAAGATAAAGCAAGCTCTGGACAGGATGCTAAACCCCGGGAGGTGGGTGGATTGGAAGTCATCTGATGAATCAGAGTCATCCTCACACTGAATAAAAGATAAATGGCACGTTTCATCCAGAATCATCCTGATTGGCTACATACGTTGTATACATCATTCAGATTATTTCCCAATTCCCTCTCACTGTGCTCTCTGTACACTTGACTTAAAAGGCATTGCCATTCACCAGCCTGAACTGAGGACTCTGCCACACCCTGTGATTAGCTCCCCAGAACCTTGTGAGGGTTCATCGGGTTGATACGTTGTTGGGATCCCAGCCCCCACAGGTCCAGCCCATCTCCAGACAAACACCCTGTTGAGCATCACCTGACAACCTGCTCTTCTCCTGCTTTCTTGCACTCTTACCATTCTCTTCCTATTCTATTCCAGGGTTTGGACAGAACAAACTGCCTCCAGACAGCATTGAGATTGTGACACAGCCCAGTACACTCCAGGATATTCAAACTGACAGAAACTCCTGCCTTCTGCTATTGCAAAAGTGGCTTGGTGTAGCAAGATGCCAGCTCAGGACTGTGGGCTGCCACTAAAGGTTCCTGATCCTCTCTGCAGAGACGAGAGTGCCTGGGGGTGGAGTGGTGGGGGTGCTGAACACTTTGGCAGGGTTGAGGTAAACACTCAGGTTGAGGCATTTTTCATCTGTTTAACCAGATCTCTTTATATTGTCAAACAAGACTGGGGCTCACAAGAAACAGCTATGCTATTCTTGTTGAGAGCTGGGACAAGAGATGAGAATTTATTTTCTCCGTGGAGGTAAATTTCCTCAAGGCTGGGATGCCAGGCAATTTTCACTGAAACAGAAGGAGTGGGGGCAGGGAGGTAAGCCCTTGGAAACTTTGAAGAAAAGTCTAACAGTGCTTCCTATAACCCCACCTTGCCTGAGACGGGGAAAACAGAGGGCTTCGGTAGTAATGTCCCCACATCCTGTGCGGAAGACTCCCTTCTGTAGGCCACCTGTTGAACTTTATCCCTGACCCTGTCCTCCCAAGCTGTGTCACTTTCTCCTTCTGTTGACTCAGAAAACACAACTTTGTTGTTGTCATTGTTGTTGTGTCATTCTCTTACCTTTTCTAGGCTGAGTTGAATTTAACATCAATTGCTTAGTTTTGATGACACCTAAAGTTTAGGTAAATTTTCATGCCCACCCAGCCACTAGTCAGAATTCTGTGGGAATACTTGTGATCCATGCGAAAATCCTTGTGCATAGTTTTATAAAGAGGTCTTACTGAAATAGAATATCTGCATTTAAAAAAATCCAAAGCAAATGTCTGGTCAGTGAACCCTTTTGTAAACCACTGGTTTCTCTCATGATCCTATTTCACATTTGTAAAGTGCATTTCCCACCCATAGCTGTTTTTGTTTTAAATCATAAAACTCTGGTATAGCTTTGATTTTTTTTCAAACTTATTCTCTCCCTTATTTGCATTTTAAATCTTCTGTACTCCCTGTAAGCCTCTTACACCCCTCCTTTACCTCCTGCCCAAGGGACGACCTCGTGACCGACACTGAAAACTAGAAGCCCTCAGGGGCAACTTCTTTACCTTCCTGCTACCAAATCTGCAAATTCGTATAAGCCTCCATATTGCTCTGCTCTTTCCTATGACAATGGAGAAAGGTCTCTTGGGTCACCATTTTACAGAGTAGGAAACATGCAGAATGATAAAGAATTGTCCATGATCTTGTATCTAGTCAAAGTCAGTGGCAGATAACTTTGAACTCAGGCTTCCCAATGTTCTCACTGCATCACGGTGTCTTTTAATTTTTAAAATTAGGTAAGCAGTATTTTACTTCAAAATGTTTGCAGTGGACATGTCTGTGAGGCTTCCACACCCCCTGCCACTATTTGCAAGAGCCCCCTGGATTTCTGCTTGGTGATACATGTGGCTCTGGGGAGGCCGACTGTACCCTCAGCTCCAGCTGCAGAGAAATCACCTAGCAGCATCCCCCAGCCACAGTGATTGGTTCAGAAGTGGGCCCATGTCCTAAGCTGCTCCAATCAGAGTGGCATGTAGATGACTTCTCTCCTTCTGTATGTTATGAGGATGGGAAGCCCGGAACACTGCAGCTGTTTTACCAGTATGAGGAAAGTCAGCCTGGGGATAAAGCTAATCACAGAAATGAACTGAAAACAAGAGATTTGAAGGAAATTAAAGCAGGTTAAATCATAACCCAACCTTCTCGGTTATGTTAGTCATACATTCCTGTTACTATTTAACTCACTTTGAATTTGGTTTTTTGTAACCTGTAACAGAAAACACAATGGACAGGTATAACTTTTTTCTGATTAAAAGATTAATGTTTTAATCTTTAAAGATACATGACATAGACAATTCTGAACAATATGAAGAAGAAATGAAAATAATCTATAATTCTACTACCCAGAATAACTGCTATTAACATTTTAGAGGTTCCTTTCCATTTTTTCTTGGGGAAGAGGTAGAAATTAAGATTTGTTTGCATAGTATTTTTTTGCTATTATATTACATGAAAATTTACATGTCCTTATGTGATCATTGAATATGAAAACATGTTTAAACCATTTATGCTTATATTCAAAATAGATATGGTTGAATTTAACATTACTTAGTTTTATGTTTTGTGTATTTCTTTGTAATTTCTTATAATTTCATTTTCAAAATGACTTGTGTTATGTAAAACAATTTTTAGATTTAGTTTGTTAAAAGAAAAATTTCAGATGCATTAAATTTAAGGGAGTTTCCTTAAGCAATGAACAATTCTTGAATCAGGCAGCTCCCAGAATCCTAACAGATGCAAAGAGACTACATACAGAGCAGCCACGTGGTGGAAGATTTATAGCCAAAAAAAAAAAAAAAAAAACACACACACACACAAAAACGGGAAATGACATACAGAAATCGGAAGTGAGGTACAGAACAGCTGGATTGCTTACAGCTTGTCCTTTGCCTTATTTGAACACTGAGCAGTATATGGTTCAAGTAAGCCTTCTGGGATTGGCCAAGACTCAGCTATTGTTAGAGGAACATATTCCTAAGTTAGGTTTGCAATCTTGTCTACCTATTAAATTAAGTTGCAGTTCATCCACAAGGACTCAAATACAGAAGTGCAGAATCCTTCACAGGCCACATTTAATTTGCTTTAACAAGTTTTCCTTAAACATTTACTGAGCACTTGTTCCTTGAAAGGCTCTAGGAAGAATGAGTTCCTGCCCTTGTGGGACATTTCAGACGTTTAGTCAGAAACACACAAAGATAAGTGTATTATTATAAATATGGTGCTTTTTTTTTTTTAAAAGCAAAATGATGTGTATGAGGTTAGGAGGTATAGCCACACATTTAGAGTGGTGGGTAGGCAGGAGGGTGGGCTGTGAAGTCAGGGAAAGGTTCCATGCAGAAATGATGCTTGAGTAGATTAGGCAAAAATGGAAAGAAGTTAGTTGGAGTGAGGGAGGACATGTGGGGTAGAGGAGACCCTTTTCTGCAGAGAGAGAAGAATGGCCAAAGGCCACTTCAGGAGGCAGCTTGGTACATCTGAGGACCTGAAAGGTCACTGTTGGAATGCATAGTGAGGGGAGATGGTGGGGTGTGACTGGAGAGGAGGTAGAACTAGACCACAGAAGCCCTCAGGAGCCAGACTAAGGACTTCATACTTTCTCTTGAGAAAACTGGGATGGCATCAGAGAGCTTTAAGCTAGAGGAAGCAGATAGCATTGACCTGTGGCTCTCAACGCCTACCTGAGGCAAAGATGGGCTGGAGGCTAGAGAGACTACAGCAGTGTGGCTTGGGGTTGGTGGCAGTGCATCGAGGTGCAGGAGTGCTTCAAATGGAGATGCTGAGGAGGGTCTGTGAGTAGGACTTAGTGATGGATTGAATGTGGAGCATGAAAACGAGGGAGAGCTCGAAGAGATGGCTGGATGGACAGTGGTGTATTGAGGGAGAGGATCATGAGTGCAGAGAGATGCAGGAGAGACTGAGGTGGCAGGGGATGTCACGTGCATGTGGGATGTGTGGCCTGGAGCTTGCAGGACATTTGTTGGCTAGAGAAACACACTTGGAAATAATCAGAGCAAAGATGGAAATTGTGGTCATGGCTTGCAGGAGATCGTCTTTCACGAAGGAGGTTAAGAGTGAGATTCCCACTCACAAGAGGGTCTGCAACTCAGCCTTCAGGAGCATCAACTTGTGGATCGGGAGAGTGACCCTCCTAAGGACACTGAGAAATAAGAGGAAAAGCTGAACGTGCAGCCACAGCATCCAAAGGAAGAGAGTGCCTCAGGAAAAGAAGGGTCATAACACACACCTACAGCCACTGAGAGCTTAGCTCAGGTGAGGACAGGGAAACTGTTAGAGTTGCTGGTGCCTGGGCCTTAAGTTTAGCAAGAACGATTTCAGAGATGTGGTGGGGCAGAAACCTCGTTGTTGTGGTTTGAGGACAGTTTAGGAGAAAAGGGAATGAAGACAGATTTTATGAAAATCTTCTAGGAATTTTGCTGAGAAAGGGAGTACATAATTAGGGTTAACTGTGGTTCTCAAATTTGTACAATAATATTACTTGAGGTGCTTTGAAAAACACCCATTGCTGAGGCCTCTCTCCAGTCCAATGAAATCAGAATCCATGGGAGTCGGACCCAAGCACTGAGATAATTTAGAAAGCTCTCAGGTAATTCTGACATGCAACCAAGACTGGAAATCACCAGGTTAGCAGGAGATGTGGGGCTGAAGATGTACACAAACGGCTGGATGTGGTGGCTCATGTCTGTAATCCCAGCACATTGGAAGGCCAAGGCAAGTGGATCATTTGAGGTCAGGAGTTCGAGACAAGCCTGGCCAACATGATGAAACTCTGTCACTACTAAAAATACAACAACAACAACAATAACAAAAATTAGCTGGGCATTAGTGATGCTGGCCTGTAATCTCAGCTACTCAGGAGGCTGAGACAGGAGAATTGCTTGAACCTGGGAGGCAGAAGTTGCTGTGAGTCGAGATTGTGCCACTGCACTCTAGTTTGGGAAACAGAGTGAGACCATCTCTCAAAAAAAGAAAAAAAGAAAATATCCACAAAAGGATTATAGAGATTTGAACATGCTTAATTGTTGACAAGAGAAATCTAGATGTGATAGTTGGTTTAAAAAATTTTTTTTAAATCTACATTTATTTAATTATCCAGAGTGAAGAAAGTTGCTTTGTAAAGCATTTCCAACAGAAGATGATACATTTACAGCGTTTTTACTTTGCCGTACACCTCTTCCTTTTCCTTAGTTTTTAATTTAGATAATGGTTGCAATATATTCATTTTTTATACTCTATATTTACTCTTTTTTTTTTAAAGCCAAACTGTATCCAGCTTTATTAAAGATACTTACCATAAATAATCATGGTATTTCAGGTAGGACATGGGCAGACAATCATTAACAGTATACAACAATTTTCAAACTCCCTTCTTTCATGGACTACCAAAAATCAGAAAGCCACTATAAAACCTAATGAAGCCTTCATCTGATGCTCTGATCAGGGAAAGTTTAGAGTGAGGGTTGACATTTCACATTTAGCACATTGTTTAACAACTTTTCACGAGCTGACCCTGATTTCAGGAAGTGAGATGAAAATGGCAGAATCTCTCTGAAGATCCACAATCTAGAAATGGAACCACTGCTCTTCTGACAGGTGCCATCTCAGTGGCATCACTGGCAAGTCCATATGGCCCGACACACTGGTGACCAATGACTGGGGGTCACGTCCCAACAGATGTCTGGGCTTAAGGGAGTTAAGTCCAGGCTGAAAGATGGAAAGAGAGAAGAGGACGTAAAAAAAAAAATTATTTTTCCATACCACAAGGCTTTTGTGTGCCAAGGTGGCCATGTGTGTCAAAGTCAGGGAATCCCTCCTCCTGGGAGCCAAGAGGAAGCCTCTCAAAACTAGAAGGGAAAGGTACTTCCCCACATCGATCCAGCTTTGGAGACATTCTATTAGTGACATATGCCCCTTCCCCCAAAACAACAATGTGTGCTAAAAACACAGCTTAAAAAAAAAAAAAGTAAAACAAAATTCTGCATTTTTATAAAACTTGATAAAAACATAGTATTTCGAACTGTACAGTCACTAGAAGTACACAGTTATCAAAAATGCACACACTTCCCTTGGCAGCTCCAGTACCTTCAGCTTTCTGTGCCTGCTCTGTTTGGGCATCTCCATTTTCTGCGGGGTTATTCCCTTCCTTGCCAGCATCAGCTTTTCCCTTTGTCCCTTTGGGCACTTTCTCTCCCTTCTTTGCAGGGGCCTTTTTAGGCTTGGGCTCTGGCTTTGGAGGAGCAGGTTTATCAGACCACCTCGTGGATCTTCTCTGTGGTTCGTCCTTCACCTTGACTTTATCGCCTTTAGCATCCTGGTCAGCCTTTCTCTTGGGCATGGTGGTGGCGACGGCGGCGGGAGGTAGGCGCTGGGCACGGGATGCAGCAGCGCATGGGCTTTGTTCGGTCCGGGGGTCGTTCTCATCTCTCCTTCTTCGCACTGCTCCCTGTATTTACTCTTTTAAAATCACTTCTGACATTTGTGCTTAATTTTGTAACCATGGTTTAAAATAATTTCTTAGGTTTAACTTCCCCTGGAATTTGTCTAAATGCTGCCTGCCAGTACGATGATACCTTGACACTTTCATATCTGGGTTCTGAAATTCCTCACGCATTTGCTGTGTGTGCGCCAAAGGGGTACATAGTATCCTATTCTGAACTCTTGCATAGTTGAGAATGTTTTCTTACTGTCTTCACAAGTGGAAGACAACATCGGTGAGCATATCGTTTTCATCTTATTTTCTGTTGCACTATAAGTAAAATGGTTTTCCTACCTGCATACTTGTAAGGTATTTTTCCTGTTATCTACATGTTTACAACAGAGTTCTGGAATGTGGCTGCTGGTCGCTGGTGTTGCTCGGGACTTGGTGATCACTTTTGGTCTCAACAGCATAGCTTTCTTCTCTAAAGCGTGCTCTTCAGCTATGACTGCAGTCGCTGCTCTGAGAAGACTTCCCACAAAGAAGTCTTCCACCACTTTGGTTTAGTTCTCTGGACACCATTGTGCTCACACTAGACCTGCATTCTTTGTCTTCTGTGTCTAGCATCTTGCCTCTGTTTTCATTCTGCCCCTTTCCTTTGCATTCTAGAAAAACTTTTCAAGTCTATTTTCCAATTGCCAATTGTTTTTTCTGCCATTTCAATTCTACTTTTTCCTTCCAACATCTTCTGCTATTACATCTTTTATTTGCTTGTAATCTCCCATTATCTTGCTCACAACTTTTCATCTTTTCTCTTTCTTTCTCTCTCTGTTTCTCTCTCTGTGTCATTTTTTCCTACCTGATACTCTGTTTTCTGCTCAGGTGTCCTGTTACTACTTCAAAGAGGCCATATCTTCCGACATTCTATTAAAATTACTTCTTTAGAGGTCTGATGTTTCCCAGAGCCTTTTACGATGATGTACCCTTTCCTTTTCCCTTTCTTTCTTTTTTCTGAATTGCATTTTTCACCCTAAGACTCAGCGCTAACCAAACAAAATGGTTGCTAATATACACAGTGTGTAGATTCCTGTGTGTCCTCTGGGTCCTGGAGCCATGTTGAATCCCTTTTCTATGTCAACAGGCACACGTCAGGTACACTCAGGGCTGAGCTAACTTCCCAGCGTCTGGCAGTGCTTCCTCCAGCTTCGTCTCCCGGCATGACAGGGCATTTTCATGCTTAAGTCTGATGCCTACATCTCCTGGGAGGCAATGCACTACTGCTGCCAGATTTATTCCTAACTCTTCAGGCTCTTGTTAGTTGTGGAAGCAAATCCTGATGAGGGTGTGAAGGAGGGCTGGGGTACAGGTACCCTCTAGATGGAAGTGTCTGCAGTGCAGAGGGAGAGCGGACTGGCTCCCACCACCGGTGCTGACCTCCCTCCCCAAGGCAGAGCAGAATGGGAAGGTGACCAGCTGACCTTTGTCCCCCACACCCTTGGCTGCTTTTGTCAGTCAGGTTCCATCCGACTCATCTTTGTGGGAAGTCTTCTCAGATTCTGTCAATATGCTTAATTTTGGGTGTTGGAAATTTTTGTCTTTTTCTGTCTTAAGAAAAATGTCAACAGAAGGGAGGGAGAGTCTTAAGTGGAGGGCTTAAATAGAGGCCAGGTGCAATTTCTTGCCTTTATTTTAAGGTTTGAGTGGTGATACCAGATAAATAAATCTTAATCAATTAAGATGAAAGCATAAAGCTTTTGGCAAAGACAAGGAAATGGCAAGAGTCAATCTTATGACAGGCAGCAGGTGGTTTGTGGGCGTGGAACCCTCCATGTGGAATGAGCATTTTTTTTTTCTGCAGTTAGAATTACTCTTATATTCCAGACCCCCTCCACCTCTCACTGCATAGATTGCTCCTTCCTTTGGAGATTCTGGGATTTCCTACAGCTCCTAAAAACTGTTCCATATTTTTTTAATTAATAGCAGGTGTTTAAAATGTGCTTAAAAATTAGTGCTGCAGAGTCTATGGGATATTGTGTCATAATAAGAAATATAGCCTGTAATCCCAGCACTTTGGGAGGCCAAAGCAGGAGGATTGCTTAAGGCCAGGTGGTTTGAGACCAGCCTAGGCAAAAATGAAATGATAACTAATAATATTAAAAATGATAATAATAATTATATATATACATATATACATATATGTATATATATATCTATATACACACATATACATATATCTATATATATCTATACATGTATCTATATATGTATATACACACACATATACATATATGTGTATGTATACATACACACACACACACACACACATATATATATATATATATATATATTTGAGCTTTGTCCCTAGTTCCTGGCGCAGAACTCCTGAAACTCTTGGAATCTCCTGAGTGGTGGGTGTGAGCAGAGCCTCTTTTCTTATTTATAATAAAGCTTTCTCAGCTCTATCAGATTTTACACTAAGGAGGCAACTCTAACCAGAGGAACCAACCATGTGATTATAGTATTAAAACGTTCAGTCCCATCCTCTGACATCTAGGGAAGGAAGAAAGACTGGAGATTGAGTTCAATCACCAATGGCCAATGATTCAATCAGTCATGCCTAGGTAATGAAGCCTGCACAAACCCACTGAACACCAGGGTTTGGAGAGTTTCCATGTTGGTGAACAAGAATACATCCATGTTCCAGGAGAGTAGTGCACCTTAACTCCACAGAGAGAAGCTCCTGGGCTCAGTACCCTCTGTGGTGTCACTCTATGTATCTCTTCATCTGGCTATTATTCATTCGTATCCTTGAAAATCTCTTTTGTAATACATTGATAATAATAGGTAATAACAAACTTTCACTGAGTTTTTCAAGCAATTCTAGCACATTATTGAATTCCAGGAGAGGCTGTTGAAAAGCCCTGATTTATAGCTAGTCTGTCAGAAGTGCAGGAGGCCTGGACCTGTGATTGGCATCCAAAGCTGGGGCAGTCTTGTAGACCTGAGTCTGTAACTTATGGGATCTGACATTAACTAACGCCAGGTAGATAGAGTGAAAATGAAATTGAATCATAGGAAACCTAGTGGGTATTTGGAGAATTGGGAAATGATTTTTGGTGGAACAGACTCACACATTTGGCGTCAGAAGTATTGTGAGTATAGAAAAACATTATTTTGCTTTTAGTCTGATTGTGTGGGAAAGAGTGCGCTGGCAGACTGTGACCCTGTAACATGTGGTATCGATACGGTTTGTCTGTGTCCCCACCCAAAATCTCATCTTGGATTATAATCCCCATAATCCCCATGTGTCAGGGAGAGAGCAGGTGGAGGTAATTGAATTATGGGGGTGGTTTCCTCCATGCTGTTCTCTTGAGACTGAGTGAGTTCTCAGGAGATCTGATGCTTTTGTAAGCATTTGGTAATTGCTCCTGCATCCATTCTCCTTCCTGCAGAATGAAGAAGGTGCCTTGCTTCCCCTTCACCTTCCACTGTGATTGTAAGATTCCTGAGGCCTCCCCAGCCATGCTGAACTGTGAGTCCATTAAACCTCTTTCTTTTTTAAGTCACCCAGTCTTGGGCAGTTCTTTCTAGCAGTGTGAGATGGGATTAATACAGGTGTAAACCAGACATTGCATAGACTTAGCTGGCTCTGTGAGATAAATACCCATGGATTGAAAGAAGAAAAATGTTTGGAGGACTTGCTAGAGTATTAATCAACATTGCATAGTACATTTGGAAGTGAGGTTATTCCATTTATTTAGTAATAGCCAAGAATTATTGAGCACCTACCATATGTCAGGCATCGAAATAGATACTTGGGGTACATCAGTGAATACGACACTTTACCTCCCCTTGAGCAGCTGATGGTTTATCAGTGGAGACAGATAAGTAACCAGAATATAACATGTGCTCAGTAGACCTGAAACTGCAGTATGTCCATGGTATTATGAAAGAGTGAAGGAGTGGGACTGATACAGCTTGGATGTGTCCCTATCCAATCTCAACTTGAATTGTAACTCCCATAATTTCCTCATATTGTGGGAGGAACCCAGTGGGAGAAAATTGAATCAGGGGGCAGTTTCCCTCATACTGTTCTGGTGGCAGTGAAAAAATCTCACGAGATCTGATGATTTTATAAGGGGAAGCCCTTTCTGTCTTGCTCTCATTCTCTTCTCTTGTCTGCCACCTTGTGAGGATTGCGTTTCACCTTCTCCTATGATTGTGAAGCCTTCCCAGCCCTGTGGAACTGTGAGCCCATTAAACCTCTTTCTTTTGTAAATTGCCCAGTCTCAGGTATGTCTTTATCAGCAGCATGAAAATGAAGACATACAGGGACAATGAAACCAATTGCAGTAGATTGAGGAAGACTTCCTAAAGGATCTGAAGCATGTGCTCTAGAAACTAAAGAAACCACAAAAGGAAGTTGGTATTTTTTTTTTTTTAAAAAACCTCTAGTATAGAAGGATATATTCCTCAGCTAAAAAAAAAAAAAAAAAAAAAAAAAAAAAAAAAAAAAAAAAACCCTAAGTCTACAGATTCAAAGAGGGCACAAAGATCCAGTCAAGTTCAATTTTCCAGTCAAGTTCAAAAAAGTATTCATGGTGAGTGGTCGATAGCACAGATTCTGAGGACAAACCATTTGTACTTGAAGCCTCCAATACTTCACTACTTATGAGCTGTTTGAACTTGAGCCTTGCACTTAATCTCTGAGCCTAGTTTCCTCTTCTGTCAATGGAAGTAATAACAATATTTATCTCATAATGTTTTCTTGTATAGGTAAAATTAATTAATGCATGAAAACTGTTTAGTTTCCAGCATATAATAAATATTGGATGCTAGTAGGCACATTCTTGTAAAATTACCATGTTTCAAAATTAGTAGAAAAAAATCTTTAAATTTTCCAACAGAAAGAACAAATT